TGCTGGCTGGGGAATTCTGGGAGTTGAAGCCCACCTATCTTAAAGTGGCCAAGGTGGAGGAACACTGGTTTACATAATTTCACTTTGCCTGACTTCACTGGGTAACAACCCATCACCTGCCTTTCCAAGTTCACACAACATGGAAGCCATAAACTGCGTTTCACATTTTATTTTATGTTTAACTTTTTATTATGCTCTTTGAATCCAAAGCCTCTCCCAGCCCCAACAACAATATTCCTTCTAGCAGGACTGCAGAATAAAACAGTTTCTTCAGCTGTCAAATAACTTACAGAGAGTGGATCAATCACTGCCTCTCCCAGGATAACCTACCTCCAGGGCCATGGAGTCGGACATAAAACATTCAACTCCAACTCCTTTAACTACATATCGATATAGGAAATAAATCATAAATATACTAATTATATATTTCCTATATTGACTGCAAGCATGCAACATACAGGGCATTTCATCACTGCCAAAGCAAATCAGTAGGCAACTGTTTAAAACCCTAACCTGTTAAAACTTGGGTCCAAAAGCTATAGCTAAGACATTCTGTGTCTATTTTTTTTTAACTTTGTTTATTAAAGAAATTACAAACATTCCATAAGTTTAAACAAAGGATAAAAGCTAAAAAATAAAAACAACGAGGTTCTATTTTTATCAAAATATATATTCTGAAATTCGCAGGGAACTTGAAATTAAAATAAATCCTGGAAAAACAAATAGGTTCATCAAGTTATTATCGATGAAATAGGAAATGTTAACATATTATTTATATTATATACAAGTTAAATTTATTAGGAGCCGGAGTCGGGATCTTTTGACCGACTCCAACTCCCGTATCCCAAGAATTGCTTCTGGCTCCAACTCCGACTCCACCGCCCTGCCTACCCTAGAGGGTTGTTGTGAGATTAGAAAGAGTGGGGGGAGAGAGAAGAGTGGGTGGAGTCTTTGGGGTTCTCTGAGCTTGGTTCTCTTCTTGCAAACCTTTCATTACCCGGCTAGGTAACATCTTCAGTGCTATGGTTTAAACCCATTCCATTCTAGCAGTGAAGGTGTTACCTAGCCGGGTAATGAAACGTTTGCAAGAAAGGAACCAAGCTCAGAGAACCCCAGACTCCACCGTTCGACCCTGATCTACCCATATTCACCTCCATTAGAACCACACGTATTGCCTTCCGGTTAAAGCGGCGCGGGGGGGGCGGTGAGAGCTGCGGAGCCGCTGTCCCTTTAATTGCGGGCTTTTTGTACGGCTCTGCTGCGTGCGCGTTCGCGGCGTGGAGGGTGCCTTGGCCTGGCGCTCACCTGAGTGGGCGCGGGACCGCTCCGGTCAGCGCGGACTTCCCGGGCTGGCGGAGCGCGCGCGAGGGCGGGGCTCCGCGTCCTGCGCGCTGGCCGCGCCTGCCGCCCCGGCTGCGTGGGCGAACTTGGCGGCTGCTTTGAATTCGGGGAGGGCGCTT